TTCTTGTTTTCGGTTCTGCCATAATGTGTTGCAATTTTGGTAGCGATTCATGCGGTTGGAAGGAGTGAGCTGTGGAAAAGAACACAGGATTCCCTGCTGGCTCTATCGGTCCTGTACCCATAGTAGGACGTAGAGCTTTTACTTTAGCTCAGGACTTTAAGTATTTAACAATAACAGCACGCCTGCTTACGTATACAGGAGGAATGTGCCAGGAGTAGGAAACCCATGCTGCCAATATGGATATCCGTCCCAAAACATAAAGCAAATGGTGATGTCTTGTCCAAGATGGGCAAAGGGAAGAGGCGAGTTGCTACGAAAATCGACAACCCGATTTTTCGAAGCAATGGTAAATAACGTCAAGGATATGACTAGAATTGTACAGTGGATTCAAAAGGAAGGATGGCTAGAGCAGTTTCGGATGACCAGAGAAATCGAGGCGTTAATCCGGCGAAGAGAGGAAATTGTAAACACAGGACAAGGACGGAATCACCACTGGCAACAACGGTGTGAGTGCACTTCCTAGAGGTAAGACTATAATGGCGTAGAGTCCAATCAGACAGCTAAGGGGGTTTTCACTGCAAGGTTTCCTCCTATGTAAATATTCGAATGCGTAGACACCTGCATGGGCCCATAGGGCGCCAAATCGGGCTAAATGAATTCAAATTCAAATAACAACACGCCAAGCTTGATTAAATAATGAATTTGGTCGCTCTTCTAATCGCCATCAGCTGCAACGATCAACAAGATAGACAGTCTAGTTACAAGGAATGCCAAATAATCACCGACAAGACTCGCGAATGACCAAGTCGGACCCAATAGACGCTCGTCACACAGCAAATTTCAAGTGATTTTCACAAGGAATCAGGTTCTCGTGTGTGCTCCCGCCTCTTCGATGATTCTGAAATAATTTCAACTCTCCCGCCCACTTGTCAAATTCAGATATTCAGATGGTATCTTAGTTACCACATCACTCGTGGGTGCCCCGCGCTTCATCATGCTGTAACTGCGGTTCAATAGTACACTCCAACGTGGAATGAGAAGCTACCTCAAGTTGCAATTTTTATACGGATCGTATCGGTCGGACGGCTGAAATAGCTTGGCTTGACTTATCTAGGCTGGCTCAATTGAGACATAGCATCTTGCCACTATCTGAAATCCAAGTCACAATTAATTAGCTGCAGTGGCTCGAGTAAAGATTTAATCATGATATAATTGAATAGGGATGAGTGTTGGAAAATATACCCACCATAGTTCTGGAGGTATTTGGAATGATAGAAGTGAGCGTTGACCGTCAAGTCAATACTATAGGGATTGTAAGATATTGAGGATTTTAGAATGGGAGATAAATGTTAGGATCAGCGATGTTTTAATTTTTGAACTTATTCTTTAAAGTATTTGGTGTTAATCTACACCTAATTATCTGTTCTACCTCGCTTAGGTAAAACAGTCCTTCATAGTCATAGACTCAATAGGGACTTAAAGTTTATTCTATTCTATTAGGTAGAAACATTCTGTTCTAATTACGTGATAGAATAACATTCCCACCACCGAGATCATTACGATCAGGGACCTCTCCAAAGCTGGTAGCGATCGAAGATAAGTAGTCTTCGTCTACTCTGCATTGCGTGCAATTCGGTCTGGTATGTCTAGATTTCCACAATGATGTATGCGATATAATATAGATATATAATGAAGTAAAGAAGACTTATTATTTTACAAAGATGTGAACATTGGACTTACTTGTGCATCTATGGGAGAAATCCCCACTAGTCTTGTGTGCCTGTCAAACATAGTAATGACTAGTCACCTCTCATCTACCATGATGAGTCATGGTACACTGCAGTACGCATATATCCAAACGTATATGCAACATTATGTGTGATTAGCACGAGACACGTGTAGATAGAGTCAATCTTGTTGTGAACCTCAGAAGAAACCGATAACGAGTGAGTTCTAAATTTGAGAGCCAGGATTTCAAAAATAAGGCTATAAAATTCGATGTTATTATTTAATTCAACCCTATGTAAAGAGTAAAAATCAACCAATAGAGATTTATATGGAAAAAAATAGTGGTGATTTGGTAATGACGCCATATATAGGCCACAATACGCCGCACTATGACAGCGGTAGTTAGTAGAACCAGGCAAGAAGTCAACCTGCCTCTAGAGATGTGAGGATGTCTGCGGTGGTTTGCTCACGGGATTTAGGGAATCTTCTCCAAACCAGTAACTACTTGAACAACTATTTCTTAGGTAGATTGGTGATTTTGGGGTAAACTTCATACTCTTCTCTCCTTCTCAGTGGAGATTGAGAAGCTAAGCGAGTTGGCACGAGTAACGTCAATAAAAATTTTTGAGAATTGCGTATGCTAGATTTCAAGGTTGGACACTCATATATCCTCTATAGCGTTTTGTCTATGTGTGTTAGTATGCTTTAAATTTGATTAAGATTTCCATTGTGCAAACGAGTTGAGCAATTACTTCTTCATCCTCACCAGCTTCAATAGTCTCTTATGCAAAATTAACTCGGGTCAGTACCTTGAGACTTTTAGAATTCAACCACAAGCACGTACAAGATTGTAGCGGTCGGACATCCAATCTATCCATAGGAATCAGTTTAGTAGTTAATTTCTCCTACTCACTCCATATATCAGTGTCTGAGAAGTCCCAAACCTATGGTTTCTATAAGGTTTCTCCTACTGCCATGGACGAGCAAGAAGATATTGCATTGGCCGGCGAGGGGGGATATCGATGGCATATCAGCTTCTCTAAGTACGTGTGCATACTTGAAAGCTGGTAAGGGAATCAGGTCTCGACGGAGGTCATGGAGGCAGAAAAGCTTTTGGTTGGTGGGCAAATAGAATTCAAAAATCCAGTCTAGATTCAGGTGACCATCATAACAACTTTAGGCTTGAGCTTATCGAAGATGAAATAGGCTTGTCTCCTGAAACAGCAAGCGATACAACGAGTGCGAAGAAACTTCCGTATTGCGAGCTCTATCTTACGACTTGATCGACTTGGGCTTTTACCCTCAAGACAAGAGCCTATATTTGAAAAATCTGGATATCGATGAATTCACCGGGACGCTAGCAGACTAACAAATTGCTTGTTATCACACCTCTATCATGGGAGGAGGCAATCGGGCAAACCTTTGGAAGCAATGGGATATCGGTAATAAAAACTAAGCCATGATAGACAGCTAGAGAATCAAGATGAACTACCAGCGTGACGGAACAAGTTTAGGCTGGGGTGATTATAGGAAGACATAGGGTATAACAGCGCAACGTTACAGCACGATAATTCGGAAAAACTTGTGAGCTCGCTTCTGATCGCACGTTGGACTCCTAAGAAGCGCCCCTGGATATGTTCTGTTGGGAAGTTAGAGCACGTACGCCTCCATCACGGCTGCTTTTTAGTAGTGGTGACCCCACAGATCCTGATTCGAGTGTGGAATAAAAGAAAGCGATATTCTGTTGTCATACTCCTCTCCTATCAGTGAGATGAAAGCTATTTTCCAGTATGCAGCGGCTAAGAGAAATTTCGAGGTCCACATACTGATAGAAGAACTAGATTTTCAGAAATAGCTTCCAATTCGAAGAATTCCAAGGTCTTGGTAGGATACTGGAAGAATCTTGGTCGAGGGTGAGAGCCGCGAAGGAGCCTGGCCTGGCATCCGAATATAGGTAAGAACACAGGCTCATTAAGTCACTCGTATACTTTGATAGCCCTTAAGACTGGTAAGATTGGAAGGAAGATTGAACGAGACGAATCCTGCTCTCTCGAGGATGCAAGGGCTATGCACTATTTTTGAAGAGATTCTGTTCATCTGTCGAGTATTGTGTGTTGAAGGATGATGAGGCTTTTTCACGACTCTTTTAGCGTTTAGTACCACATTATCCTTTACTTTGGTGAGATTCATTCTCGACGTCATAATCGTCGTAGACATTATTTGAAGTAGATGTGTGAAGGTGGGGTCATGAATCAGCTGAAATTTGAGGTGGTATCACTTAGCCCCAGCCCTACATTTCTTACGGTGATAGTTGACGTCTGTGAGAAATATCACCGCCAAGAATTAGTCCTAATCCCCAGCCTTAACTTTAGAGAGTATAAATAAAAACATAAATGAGACACAATAGAAATGGAAAGTTTTATTAATGTATGATAAACATAAAAAAATATATTTCTTGGATTGTAGTTTACAGACTAAATTCTTTGTTACAGATGACCCAGAAATTTCTTGTTCTTTCCTACATCCCTTTGTCCAAGAGAGATTTCGTAGATGCCTTAGCTAAATAAATTCAAGTAACGGTAAATTTCATTTTATATCAATGGTTCGAGAAAATACTTGTAGTGAGGCAATAACATGCGGAGAAATTTTTTTCCTCTATTTTCGTATTATTATAAGCCCTCAAAGGTTCTACCGCTCCATACTCATCTTAATTAGTGACCGTTAAATCATCTCTTTTGGAGCAGCTAGGTGGTCAATATTTGATAGTAACTTGAAGTGTTTTCCCTTGTGTAAGCCTTCAAACTTGCTATCATATAGTGATATCGCATTTTTCGAATGAGCTTGATTTTTACAGAGCTGGTTTCACTCTGGCTTGACAAAAGTTATTTGATTCGTCCTACGACTAGAAGTACTTTTTCCACACCATTGTTAAACACTGAAACTGAAGCTGAATATGTGTACAGTATTGCTAGTTTATAAATATAAAATGCCGACATATAGAGATGTCTCCTGTGAGGTTTAGATTTAACTGGTAAAGTTGTATTTGTCCTTAATAACTCCAGCTCGATGACAAGACCCGTAAATCTCAAAAACCAGCTTAGAGATTAGATGGTACAATATTCACCTCAGGTTTCTGATAGCTTTAAAGGTAATTTTGTTTGTATCTGGAACACCCGTGTTTGCTCCAGCTTTAGGTCCATGAGTTGGTTTGTAGAACTTCAAGGATAAATTTGAAGCGATGACACATTCAGGGCTAGAAATGATGTAGCGACTCAAAGTAAATATCTGTATTCAAGACTTTTGTCACCTATATCATTTTCCCGTACGCCTGTGGATATAGGAGCCAGAAGGGCTCGGTTTCGCCGCTCATTTTCTAAATGAATAATCAAAGCGTAAACGCAGCAGCTGAATATTCCGAGAACTAAGAATCCAAGACAGATAGCATAGCCCGGTGTGTAACTTGGGGCGTCCTTTGGTAGAAAAGCATAGGTAGCAACTATTCCACCGATATTACCAAAACCGATTTGCCATGCTGATCCAACGGCTCGTCGAAGGTGGCCTCCAAGATTCATATTAAACCAACAAATTATAAGAGGCATGGCTGAATAGACTCCCGATGTGATAAGGAAGAGGCCGCCGAACTGAATACTGGTGTTATTGTGAATAGAAAGAAGAACTACAAACCCAGAAATGGCGAGAATGATGGAGAATATAACAAAGAAAAGTCTGTGCTTGATGAAGTCGGAGGCTGAAGCGATAGTCATGGAGAACACAAATGCACATGCCCATGGAGCCACGCTATGAAGTTGTGTAGCGATAGGAGAGAATTTGAATGTTGATATGATTGCTGGCCCGAAAAATGCGTAGCCGTAGGCTGGAACGACCATTGATATATACATTAAGCCTCCAAAGATTATTTTAGGATCCTGAAGTACCTGAAAGATATCGCGCACTGTCGCTTTGTTCTCTGTTCTTGAGGAACATTGGTCCGCTCGTATACGGTCTTTCACTTGTTCTTTCTCATCAGGTGAAAGCCAGGAACTGTCCTCCACAAAGGATGGAATAAAAAAAAGTCCTACGATTGCAGCAATCGTCGTGAGGAGTCCTTCAATAATAAAGATCCAGCGCCAGCCGTGGTATCCTCCAAGACCGTCCATCTTACCAATAGCAGAGGCTAATAGCCCCCCGAAGGCACCGGCAAGACAGGTGCTGTTGAAGAAGAAGGAAAAACGTCGCTGAGCTTCAGTACGTTTATACCACATTCCTATGAGATAGAAACAGCCCGGAAACATACCTGTAAGAAGTAAATAAAGTACTCCCTTGAGGGGAACCGGTACGGCATGTAAAATGTAGCGGCTTTTTTATGTCTGAAAATAGTGGCAGTGATTTGGACTTTTTACATACCTGCTTCGAAAAATCCGAGTAAAAAGCGGGTAATAAGTAGACCTGTATAGCTCTGCACAAAACCTTGGCAGAAAGTAACAGCTCCAAACATAAACATACAGCCAGATATCCAGTACCTAGGGCTGAAATGCTTTAGGAAGATGTTGGAGGGGATCTCGAATAAAATATATGGTACAAAGAAAATAGTAAGAGCAGTATTGAATCGGTTACCGTACAGCTTTAGGTCATCGAACAATCCGAATGAGCGAGCATTCGCGATATTAACACGGTCGAGAAAGGCAAGGGCATAAAGTATGCAGAGACAAGGAAGGATGTGAAGGTCAATTTTAAGTAGAAGTTTTTTTTCTGCAGTATTTGCTGTGGGTAGACTCCGGAGGTCGCTGTTTGCATGGGCATCAATTGGGGGCGTCGTACATTTTTCACCGTAACTTGCAACTTCAGCAGTAAAATCAGAGGCGAGAGTCGAGGTCGACGGAGCGACACGAGGACCTAGGGAGGTTAGGAAAATCCGCGAGAATTTTAGGCCGTAGTTCATGTACCTTTTTCATAGTTCAGCATCGTAGCGGTTTCTTCGAGATGCTCAGTCCAGGATTGATTAAGATTCAGATGAAGGGCTCGATTACAAGTGGGCAGTAACACATTTGAATGAAAGAAATGCTCTGGACGATTTCCAGATGCAGGTAACAAGTTGGACAGGTAGAATCATATGAGCAGGAGTGCACCAATATATGCTAGCACTGTCCCACTTCAGTAACAAACGAATATCGTCATTGGTGCGACTCCGGGTGTCAAAACACAGAGGTGCCTGCGAAGAGACTATAACTTTGGTCATTAGATGGTCAAAAATATAACTGTCATGTGTACAGTGCATTATCTGGAACTCCCTTATGCAGGGGTAGTGGAGACACAGGCGGTCCCAGCATATTCTGAGATGTACAGAGCCGAAGCGACATCAATCAACACACAAGTTGACCAATCTCATCAGCCAGGCGATACGAAGCCGCGAGCGACCTCCACCTGCAGGAGGTAGCTTTCCAATAGGGCTGCGTTATTTCGCTGGAGCAGAAGTTTTTACGTCAAGTACTCGCAACCTTAAATCGCAATAGAGGTGTCCTCTGTACAAGCTTGTTGATTCTTAACAGATACATGTATCTTACTCAGATTACGGCCGATGTATTATTTCCGCATGTTGTAATAGAGGCTTCATGCTCACGTTAGCTGACTAGACTGCTTGGACTGAACATCGGGAGAGAAAATGTTGACGCCGCAGTCTATGCAATCTAGCCCAATCCTATTCCTCAGCTGCGGCAAACAGAGTTAATAGCCATGACTGGCAAAATATTGGTAGATAATCTGCGTGTCTATGCTCCTGCACATGTGACCTCAATGATCTAGACGGCCTTACCAGCTCTCGGAAAAAGGAGCTTAGGTCAGTCTCGAGCTCTTACTACCCAGCAGACGTAGACCAGAAAAATGACGATGCAAGGTGAAATCGACCATCCTCTTGCCTCTAATCATTGCGTCGAGGGACTGAGCGAAGCAAAATCCGGTGGGTACTTTGGCCAAGGCCCTGCTATTGCGGGCTAAGTGCCGTGCGAATAAATATGAATTTCCGCATTTAAGGTTGTCTAGGTCGGCATTCTCAAGCCGCTCTTAGTGGGCGACCCCTACTGGCTTGCACTAGGGCTCACTCAAAATAGCTGCCTTTAGCGTGTTTCACAGATATGCAGAGTACGACATTAAGTAGGAACGAGCTTATCCCGGTCAGCAAGTAATCAGTTCTTCAGACACAACGTTATAGAACGCGGCATTCCTTGTTGTGTTCGGAGTAAGATTTAAGCAAATGTTGTTTCAGCCAAGCGCCTATTCAGAATGAGCCTTTTTGACCAATGATCACGGAAATATCTTCTGATTAGTCCATTAACCACATGCACTCAACAAGGGATGGAAGCTCACAGGATAAAGTTGGTTCCCTGCGAACTCAGGGCTGGAGTATTCTCTAGAAGCCTTGAGGAAGGTTAGGATCGGCTTAAGCTAGAATATCGGCTTGCAGAAGTTGTGCGCGATACCTTGGTTATAAAATTAGATTGCAGTGGTTTCAATACTGAATAATACTCAAGAAAAGAGTTTACCAACATTACAGTGTAATTTGCGGATAAACCCAGATCTGACTGGAAATATTTTTTCAAAAACCGGCACAGCTCGTATTCTTCAATGCCCGACGGTGAAACTTTGTCGGGAAAAGGCAGACCTGTAGCCCCTCTTCACCAGTATCTAACTTTCTATCAATTTTTGTGCTCGTGAAAAATGCAATACCAAAAATTTGAGGTGAAATTATGGAGGATACATATGAAGTTGATTCATGAGGGTCAAATTTGACCACGGAGTCACAATGCTCTATTATGAGAAAAATCTGATGCTGCGAGAATGAGGATTATTATCCTAAACGCGAGGAGCAGAAAAGCTAATGAGAAGAGAGGATGTCTATGATATCATTGGTGAGGTCGATGAAGATACAGCAATACTATAGAAAGACGAGAATCCTCTGGAAGATAAGGATTAGCGTTACTCAATACACGATTGAAGTCATTGTCAGGCTAGACTTGATGATGAGATGAGTCTATAAAATCCTTCCCGGTCGACTTGACCTAGCTCGGCCCCACTCATATCAATCTCTGAATAGATGCAAAGGAGTCTTTTATCCAACATGCACAACAACTACAGAGAAAAGTGGGAAGATATAATCGAATTGAGTTGCGTTGACAATACATCATCACAGATTAAAATTCCATCCACGTCTTGGAGTATGCGAGGCAAGCTGGTTACTTTTATCACTAGATAAATAGTATACCGAGATGGGAGAGGGCTGTCCCAACATATTGCTACATCTATAAGACCTAATATCTCCTCGCAAAACGTATTTTTGGTTTTTGATAGGTTTGTGTAAACATAGATGGCTCAATCTCGTTTTATAACTAGATCACTAAGGTTCTCTACTGAGGTTCATGGGGACTATTTTAAACACCTGCCAGTGGTGTCTCTTAAGAACCTTCAGATCTCGGTGTAGAGTTTCTAGAGCTAAGATTGAGTTACACCGTCCTCACTTCGATGGAGATTCCCGATCACTTTCGCGATCTGTATGGTCTTTGTCTCTTGGCATAATCCACTAGGGCCAATATTATGAAGTTAACTGCGATCAGATTGAATTTTAGGATCGGTGCCCTACTCATACCCACCCTTGATTATGGAGGAGAAGTCATCCGATGAGTTTCCGGAGCCGACCCAGCACTCGATACAGCGATGGTGAATTGCATTAAGTTGACCTCTAATGTCACAAAGAAGGGAGATGTAGATGAATATGCGCATCTCTTGTGGTCCCGATGTCTAGGCCCCCCCTGGCTAGGACTGCAGGTTTTTTGAGACTTTTTCCCGCGCACGCAGTTTCCATTACTGCCTTTTTTTTATTTTTTTAGGTAGAAGGTTCCATGGAAAAGGTGGCCGAATTCCACAGGTAAAAATTGAGCTGAATGGCAATTCATCAAGGGAAATATATCAAAGATCTTCTAAGTAACAGAAGAGGGCAGGAGCACTGTACAAGGTGTGGCCTGGGCTAGAGAGGAGCCCAATGTACTAGATAGTCTAGGACTCAAGTAGAACAATAATCACACACCCACAATTTTTTGAAACCTGAAAGTTCGTATATTCACGTTCGCCCTCTCGCGCTCGCCACATCCGGTCAGACAACTGTGATCGGGCAGCTGGCAATTTTATCATGCCACCTACTCGATAAAAGCTTTCCAGCGCCATGTCGGACAAAACGAGGGTCCACCCGAGGGCTCTCGCAAAGATGCTGGACCTTGGCCAGTCTCCAGAATGCGTGGAGATATGATAGGCCTCAAGTCAATTGAAGGAAAAAAACCTTCCTACCGTCTCTACGCTAGATATTGACATGATTGGGTCAGTTGTAACTGTTGCGGAAATTCCTTAACGAGCCTCCATCCCCCACGGGATTGGAGAATCGTCCCAATCTCCTCTGATCGAACTCAAACCGTCGGAGAAGGCTGTACCGTAAGCAGCTTCAACGAAAGAGTCGCAGCTTCAAGCTGCCACTAAAGCAGAATGCCCTCTGGAACTTTGACCAATCCTCGAGGCTGATGAACGACGCGCCGCCGAAACAGCTTCAAATCTGGCACGCTATTCTGCCGCCATCTCCGGCGTCGAAGCAACCCTTCTCCCTTGAACAACGGGTCAAATAGACTTTTCTCAGACCCTAGGAGAGTCTACCTACGCACCGTCATTGCGCAATACATGGCCTCGGGCTAGGCCTCAACGCCGCCCGTCCTTCCTCGCCCAGCAAGCACTCCTCCGAGAGCTCCCGATGCCATGAGCACTACGATACCCACCGTCCCAGTACAGTCCTCGAAAAGTACCTGGGCTATGGTGGCCAGAAACGGACTGTGACAAATAGCAGTCCCTACTGTAATGGCTGTGCCGCAATCTATGGCCAAAGCTCCAAAGAAAGACGATCCGAAGGCGAAAGTCGACAAACAACCTTTCCTTAGCCTCGATAGCGATCATCCATGGCGCAAATTCTCACCTTGTTGCACATGGGGAAGATTAGAGGATGGGCTGGATCTTGTTATGGGTGACGCCAGCTCGTTCTACCGAGTCAGGACAGACTTTTAGATGCCTCTCCAAAATTTGCGAATTTCAATGCCAAAGTTCAAGAATCTTTCGGCCTTGTCGCCTTTCGGATTGCGAATATACCTGCGAAGATTATCACAACCATGGGCCCTAGAACGATTGAGGCTGGGTGGATCCCAGACGAGATCTATCTTCAAGCTGGCAAGTAGCCAATTTAGGTGCGCCACATATAAACTGGGTAGCATTTTTTCCTCGGAACCCCGTCCCTTGTGCGAGCTTCTGCCTCTTAAACGAGTCTATAATGACTATAAAGCTCCAGCCTCGTCACAAAATTCATTAGTTTTATCGATCCCTCGGCTACCACGCCATTCTTGGTTAATCTCGTGCTACGGCCCGCCAGGACTACGGTTCAACGATGAATTCTGAAGTAGATTGCAAGGCCTTCTCCAGATGTTGAAATAGTAGTGGAACTCACCGGTCAGGTTCTCGGAGCTGTATAGCTAGACCCAACAAGTTTGGTCCGTTAAACAAAGAGCAAGTCAAATGGATTCGCCAAGTCGAGCACGGAATGTTTGCAGAAGCAGCCCGGGCGAAAGCTACAGCCAAAAGGGCAGAGGAGGCAATAATCGCCTCGAAAAAGGACATCTTCATAGCAGGAGGATCGGGCTTCGGAGTTCTGGAGTCCGAAGAAGCTTGAGGACCCAGCGACCTCGACGACGCTTTTAATATCAGGTGTCACTAACCAATAGCAGGATACTGGCTGCATCAATAGTACCTGCTACTCACCTCCTGCTCTCAATGGAGATCGAAAAGGTTGTCATTTGGGTGATGTAATGGGTGAGGGGATATGTACGGAGCGCATTGCTTGGGTTAAAAATGAAGGAATCGTCT